AAACTTTTGAGCAACACCTGACAAGACGAAAGACGACGGTGCAGACACTAATAGAGGTTTTTTGCGAGCATGGCTTCCCGCGTTTGCTCCAGACAGACATGGGGAACGAATTCACCAACAAGATAGTAGAACTCCTGGTCCAGGAAGTGGGTACACCACATAAGGTGTCACCGCCAAACCGACCTCAAGTACTGGGCGCTGCCGAACGACGTAATTAGGAGATTGCACGATTCATTAGACAGTGCTGTGAAGCAGTACCCCTACGGTGGGACGAACGCCTCCCGTTTACAACGCTCTATCAGAATCTTCGCATATCTCGATGTCATAAGTGCGCACCGTTCAGCGTGTATTTTGTTTTAGGGTTAGGGTTTTAGGGTTTTAGGTTTCCAACATGGTCACCGCCACGTTCCGTTCGCCGATTTTACTGAGGAGTTACATGACATCTAGCCGATTACGAATGATACCTGGGCTCAACGGTTGGACCAGTGCAGGATACTATCCTCCCAACACTACACCACATTACTGAGAAGTACTCGGGCAAACCGACGAAGACGTTCGACCGCCTGTACACTCACGACTCAGTACGTTTCGACGAAGGCGACGTAGTGATGGTGCGGTATGAGGGAAGAACGACTAAGGCGATGAGGCCGCTGTTTGGCCCATATGTGGTCAAGTCTAGAATCGGTCAGCGCTACGAATTGGCAAATAAAGACGGTTCCGCCCCTCCAGAATTCAAAGACAGACCGGTACGCGTTGATCTCCTCCGGTTAGTGCATCGACGCACTGACCCGCCACTTAACGACGAGTTGTGGACGAAGGCGGAGTCGAGTTCCGCCATATTATCACACACCGTACGAATGATAATACTGGGAAGATGGAATACTTGGTGCGATGGCGCGAAGGGGATCTACGTGGGAAACAGCGGAGGCATCTGACGATGCCAACGATATAGTGGCCTACCACAAGGCCGGGCAGATTTGGTTACGTAAGCGCCAACGTGCACAGTTTTAATACTTTATCTTCAATACAACTTTGTTCTCGGATATCGAGCTCAAGCTCGCGAGGTTAAAGGAGCAACTCTAGCTCTCGAGTATAAACCAGCAACTCTAGCTCGCGA